CGGGACCGCCCCCCCCCGGTAACAACGCCCCGGGAGCGCTCGCCACCCTCTTCCCGCTGGGAAAAGGGGCTCCTACAGCCCCCAGCGCGGGCAGGACGCTCCCCCTGAGCCTCAGCCCTGTCTCCTGCTCCATCCTTGCCACCCTCTCCCGAAAAAGGAGGCTCCAGCCACCAAACCCTGTGCCAGGGAGGCAGCTTTGTGACAAGAAGAGCTGTTCCTGCTCTAAAAAAGGCCAAGTTACCATGAAAGCACAAAGCAGAGCAAGAGCCACGTACCAAGCGAGCTTTCCTCCCTAACAGGTCTTAAAGAGGCACAAGGAAGAGGTGCCACAACAGGATTTGTGCCCCACACTTCTGGGTTTTAAGCACCTTTCTAGCTGCCTGCTTGAGTCTAAAACCCTGCCTGAATAATTCTTTACAGCAAGGAGGAGCCCACCTTGACAGAAAACAACACAGGCTCCTAAAGATTTTCAAGCCCAAGAATTTTATTTGTTTTCCCTCCACAGGAGTCAGTTGTGACCAAGCTAAAGGTGACAAGTGTAACTGTAGTGTCATCCTACCAGCGTTACAGTGGAAGAGTGAACCACCCTCTGCCTGCTTCCAAGCCACGAGGAGGAGGAGCAGCCATGGGCGAGCTACAGCCTAACGGTGGGTTCCATCACTACTCGGAACCTCAAGAAATGAGTTAAACCAAGGATAAGGAACAATCCTGGCCCAGGACATCTCTCTAAAAGCACTTGCGATGGACGATGGAGGGGCCAGACTCATCGTACTCCTGTTTGCTGATCCACATCTGCTGGAAGGTGGAGAGCGAGGCCAGGATGGAGCCTCCGATCCAGACAGAGTACTTGCGCTCAGGTGGGGCAATGATCTGCAGGAAGAGAAGGGATGGAGCAGATGCACAGGGTCAGACGCTGATCCACATCTGCTGGAAGGTGGAGAGCGAGGCCAGGATGGAGCCCCCGATCCACACCGAGTACTTGCGCTCCGGTGGGGCAATGATCTTGATCTTCATGGTGCTGGGAGCCAGGGCTACGATCTCCTTCTGCATCCTGTCAGCAATGCCAGGGTACATGGTGGTACCCCCGGACAGCACGGTGTTGGCGTACAGGTCCTTGCGGATGTCCACGTCACACTTCATGATGGAGTTGAACGTGGTCTCGTGGATGCCGCAGGACTCCATCCCCAGGAAGGAGGGCTGGAATATGGCCTCAGGGCATCGGAAACGCTCATTCCCAATGGTGATCACCTGCCCATCAGGCAGCTCATAGCTCTTCTCCAGGGAGGAGGAGGAGGCAGCGGTGGCCATCTCCTGCTCGAAGTCCAGAGCAACATAGCAGAGCTTCTCCTTGATGTCCCGCACGATCTCTCTCTCGGCTGTGGTGGTGAAGCTGTAGCCCCTCTCCGTGAGGATCTTCATGAGGTAGTCAGTGAGGTCACGGCCAGCCAAGTCCAGACGCAGGGTGGCATGGGGGCGGGGATAAACCTCGTAGATGGGG